ACACTCCCCACAAATCTCATTCTCCTGACCCCTACAAACAAACTCCAAGTAAAGTCTTTAGGGATGCTTGTCAATGCACTTTGCACAATCTAATCGGTATCTTGAGTAATGATCTCCAGAAATGATCCAAGATGTGTCCTCTGGGTTGGAAACCCTGATGGCATCTATTTAGTGTCCTCACTTTGCCTCAGCTGACATCATAGGTCTTCTAGGTTAGGGAGATGTTTTATCTCTCAAAGGTGGTGCTCCTTTTTCATGATTGGCTATTCTCATTCCAGCCTGTGATTACTGTTGAGGAAACATTGATGTAGTTAGGAAGCCCTTGCAGGGAGTTATAACTTCATAAGTCAATTTTATATCTTATTAACTAGGGAAGGAGGTATAAAGCTAAAAAGAGAGTGCCTTGAGTGATCCTAAATAACAAAAAATCTAAAATAGATCTTCTTTTGCATTTGGACACACTGATAATTAAGGTGATATAAATTTACCTTCTTAGTAAAATAACAGTGGGACATTTTATTGCCCAAGCTCTCATATTGGGATGAAGTTTTGACCCAAATATAGTTAGAGACAGAGAAGCATATACTTGATTCAAAGCCTCAACTAGTAGATGCTAAAGAAGTTCTGATACTTAATCTGTCCTAATATGTGCTGATGGAGGTCAAAATTTGAACTCAAGCATGTCCTGTTGCTCCTGGTGATGCTATGTCACTAGAGTAATTAGTGTAGACAAGGATGACTATATTGGGGCAATCCTCCTATCCTATCCCACAGTAAATGGAGATTTCCAGGCTTAGAAAGACTGATGAGGACCTCAGCAAAGGCTTGTTTTGATCATCGGTAGCCAGGGGAGTATGGGTCACTGTGGGCTTATCTTTCCTTCTTCATGTCTATACTTGTCTGCCCACAAGTCCCTGCAGAGGAAATTTCAGGTAAGATAATACTGGGGCTTGAGGTATCTGGGAAACCTTATTAGAAGGTAGGGCATTACCAGCTTATTCCTTCAGTCAGAGGGTAATATTCAGTCAGTCCATGAGGAAAACTTCCTGAGAAAGCAGCCAATAAGAGCCACTTGAGGGCCATAAATCAAAATTTGAAATCATTAGGACAGGTGCTGAAGGAGGAAAAGAGATGTGGTTCAGATGGTGAGAAATTTATGGAGTCTAAGAGAAAGATGAACACAAGTAAGGACAGAGAGAAGGTTATGGATGCTTAGTAAAAGTAAAGGGTGTGAATATCTCACCTAGATTGGAGTGGGGGAAGTTGGAATTTTTTAGTCCACCAGAAGCTGAGTGTGAGGTGACACTGTGGGGTGACAGCCAGACAGAGGATATCCTAGTCTGCATTAGTAGGGAGAGAGATAATAGATGTGGCCTTTGTCTTTGATCAAATTATACCTTAAAGGATGTATTCAGTTTGGAGTTCTATGCTTTAAAATGTTATAGATAATTTGAATGCATGAAGATCTAGGGAGACATTAAGTAGGAAAATCACAAAGAAGGATAGGATGGATTTTGGAGGATCAGTTTAGATTATTGCTTTATTTTTTTTGAGTCATGTTTCACAATGGAGCTTAAGCTCTCATTCTGATCAATATTTCTGTGAGAATTGAATACGGTGCAGATTGGAAAGTTGGCTGATTACATGTTACAATTCCAGTTTTATCAGCCTGATTTCATAATTTGAGGGCTCTCAAATCTATCTGGGACACATTACTGGTTTGTTTTCAGGCACCTAAGTATGATGTTTTTGTTATGTATTACTCTGGCACCCATATACATCACTTTAAGCCATACGTAATCTCCAAGTAAAGACAATACTAAAGTTATTCTTACATCTAACCTGAAACCACTATTCCGTGTCCAACCAAAAACACGTTAACCTTTTTCCAAGAAGACATAAATGTCTTTATAGAAATCTCATAAAAAGATTTAAAATCCTCCTCTTTTTTGTCTCTGGATAAAAGTCATTCTATTCCTGTCTTATTTATACTCTCCTTTTTATATCCCATAACTTAAATACTGTGATATGAGTTAATTATTATTAATACCTCTTATGTTAGATAAGGCAATGACAGAGAAGAGGAGATCAATCAGTATACATATGTACATATATAAGGAAGAAATGCCCATAACTATTACAGTATTTCTTTTAATAGCTGCTTACATGTTTATGGCTGGTATTTATAACTGGGTTCTAGAATATAGAATGTTCTTCTGGAATATAGAATGTTCTTTCATTACCCATTCTATATTCTGGAATATAGAATGTTCTTTCGTTATTCATTCTATATTCCCTTTGTCCACAGTAGTCATGGTTCCTGATCTGGTTGGGTGAAAACCTTCATTTGTCAGGGATCTGGGCCACCAACAGTCCTGTCTGAATTGAGTTCTAATTTTCTATTTATTTATATCACAGTACATAAGAGTACAAAGAAGCACCCTAGAAAAATCTCCTGGTTCCAGAAGTCTCCTCCTTATCCACACTGTGAAGCAATAATTTTCCCTTTGTAGTTAGGATCAATCAGACCAGTCAATAGGGAAACTTTCTTTGATTGTCACAGTTCTATGAGGATCATAGAACAAAACTTTTTTCTGCTGACAGAGGGTAAAATGAGGATTCCCATTTCTACCCCTTGATCTGTGGTTCTGTGAATGCTCATTATGGGAAAAACAGCACCACAAATTGGATGCAGATTTAGTGCATGTATCCTGGAGGACGTTGCCCCGGCAATGCAAGCAATGCCAACTAGCTGACCTACCAAAGGCCATTCTACATTTCTGTCAGTCCACTTGTTGCAGGAAAATAGAGGACCTAAGCTAATTCCATGACCTTAGGTCCCATTTCCACACTTGGTTTGCTGTGAAATGAGTTCGCTGGTCAGAAGCAGTGCTGCATCCTTACCATTATGGTGCATAAAGCATACTGTGAATCCATAAATGGTAGTTTTGACAGCAGCACTGCAGGTAAGGATGGTAAATCTCTATCCAGACTTAAGTGTCTATTCTAGTAAGAAAAGAACACTGTCCCTTCCAGGTTGAAAGTGGTCCAATGTAATCAATTTGCCACCAAGTAGCTGGTTAATCACCCCAGAAATGGGTGCATATTGGGGATTCAGTATTTTTTTTTTTTT